AAAAGAATTGAAAAAAATAGAATGAATAACTTTTTCTAAAGCTACATTATTACATCAAGAGAGTAAATCTCTTATTAGGAGCATAAGGTATTTTTATGTGACAAGAGTTAGTATATGAGCCTCTTTTGAGTGACCAATAAAATGGGATGAATTTATGTCAATAGATCTTGAATGCGAATGTTTAACCTCCTGAGCCAAACAGAGTGCACAATCATGTGGAAAACATCATACCTCTTAGGGGGTCCATTCATCAAAAAATGTCGTTGCACTTGTTTCACTCTCCTTTGCATTCTGAGGTATTGTCTATTGGATATGCTCATCAATATGTTCTTAATGTCTGATATATTCTTGACTGGCACTTGCACAGAAAATAACTTCCAATCCAACACATCACTAAAAGGTGGAATATAGCCATCTGAAATCAACACGGGGACGCACTCGGCATAGATTGCTTCTACCACCCTTGGACTTGCTACTTCATACCCACTTGGGCATAAGCAAAACTTGCTGCTCTTCATCATTTTTTCATAGGACACTCTTTGAGGAACTTTTTCATAGACTTGCACATCTTGGTCTTTGCCTTTCCATTCATTTAGAAGAAGGTACCTGATATGGCCATGCAGACCGCCTGCAAAGAAAGCTAATGTGGATCGCTTTGATGGAGGCTGACCCCCAAGCCTTGGGATTTCCGATGTTATAAGATTAATTTCTGGAAGCGACGCATCTTTATTGGGATTAAATCCCTCGGAAGTATTGGCGTTGCACAAAACCCTAATAGACTTGTGGAATAAATGGGGGACAAATGTAGTTGTAAATGGCCCCTGTAACAATTATTAGTGCATCAAGCAATTAATTTAATATTATTCAACTTATTTAAGCTAATCAGAAATAATGTTCTAATAGAAAAAAAAATAGATAATACATGAAATAAGAAAAAGGAGAAACAGCCACTAAGGCACTTGGTACTATTTCTTAAACTTTTATGGTTTTTTATGATTTTGATGGTTAAAGGAGATTACCAAAATATATATAATTATTTCCAAAATTAATAATTGCAACAGACAAATACATATTAAATAATGATAATAACCACATAAGAAGGGGAAAAAGTGATACCACATAAATTCAAAGATATAGGGACAAAGAAACAAAGAGGCTTAATCAGACAAATACCAAAAAAAAAGTAAATAAATAAAT